CATATTCACTTACAAGTAGGACCCATTCACATATTTAACAGCTCACCAGTCTTACTAACTGATTGCTCACTGCCATAAAGCCACCATGGTGGCATACCAACTCCGTTGATAAGTAAACAATGGCAACATCAGATTCAGATGTTAAACATGATTGCTTCATTTGTCTGACACCAGGTTCATGAAATCTACTCTAGACATAAGTCTAAAGCATATTAGTAATACAGCGTTCAAAAGCAATCTATCACCTACTGGAGTGGTTGATACTCCAAAGGGTTGGGCTGCTGTTCCGAACTGGAAGAATGGGCCTACAGAAACCTCAAGAAGTTAAAAAAATAAAATAACAAAAGAAACAAGTGAGGTCGTGGCCCTGGGGAGGAACAACCCCAGGCACCAGTCCGGGCTGGGGCCAGCCAGCTGGAAAGCAGCTTTGCAGAAAAGGCCCTGGGGGTCCTGAAGAACAAGCTGAACCTGAGCCAGTCCTTGCAGCAAAGGCTAGTGGCATCCTGCGCTGTATTGGGTAGAGCATCACCAGCAGATCGAGGGAGGAGATCCTTCTCCCCTGCCAGCAGTGGTGAGACACTCTTGGAGTGCTGAGTCCTGTGCTGGGTTCCGCAGAACAAGAGAGAGACGCACATACCAGAGCAAGTCCAGCAAAGGGCCACTGAGGTGATTAAGGGACTGGAGCGTCTGTCACACGAGGAGAGGCAGAGAGAGCTGGGCATGTTTAGCTTCAACCAGAGAAGGTTTAGGGGGGATCTTAGCAATATGTATAAATAACTGATGGGAGAGTATAAAAAACACAGGGCCAGACTTTTCTTAGTGCTGCTCAGTGAAAGGGCAAGAAACAACAGGCACAAGCTGAAGCAGAAGGAATTCCAGTTAAAAAAAAAAAAAAAAGGGGGGGGGGAATTGTTGTTGGAGTTTTTTGTTTGTTTTTTTGCTGTTGTTTATTGTGAGGATGTTTGCCCTGAGAATTGGTGGAGTCTCCATCCTTGGAGGTATATAAAACCTGGCTAGACACAGCCCATGGCAACCTGCTCTACTTGACCCTGCTCTGAGCAGGAAAGCTGCTGTAGAGCAGTGATCTCCAAAGTGGAGCATGCACAAGACAATCCACTTGGATGTGTTACGAAAATATGTTTTGCACCATAAATAAAGTAAGAAAAAAAATTCAGCAGTGTTTATTTCATCTTTATCTCATAATTTTTTAATTTCTATTTTTGTGTGTTTTATAATGCACATGATATATTAGTACATGTATATAATGCACATTATATATTATTACATGTATATAATTTATAAAGAAATAACCATACACATATTGGGGGTGTGCGCTCAAAAACATTTTGCTGGTGCACAATTAAAAAGTTTAGAGACTATGGGTCTAGATCATCTCCAACAGCCCCTTCCAACTTGAGTAAGTGTGTGATACTCTCTTGATAACAACAATTGATGCCTGTAAAGAAAGTGAGCGAACAGATTCAGACGAAAAAAATTTCCCCTCCTGCCAGCTGATGTCAGTTGCTTTCTAAAATTTGTCCTTCACATTGTTAAATCCATTAACCCCCTAAACCGTATCTTCTTCTAAATTAATATTAATAATTGGGTTTGGATTTCTTCTACACATCTACTAAAAATTACTTTATAGTTTGGGGGGATTTTCATTAGTTGGGGTTTTTTTATTTTATTTTTAAGACTCCTCAAGGCTACTTTACCCTACTTTCTGAGAGGAATGGTCACTGCAGCACTCTACATTCTGGTTTTGCCACCCATGAAAAGACAACCAGGGTCAGCATAGAGTTAGCTATTCCACTTCCACCTCCTCAAATACTTATCTCCCCTTAGCAGTCAAACCAGTCTAAAAGCTCATTTAAATTTTTATATGAAGCTTTCCTGAGAATCAGGATCCAGATTTTTTACAAAGGTTATGAATTAAAAAACAAATTGAGCCCTGTTTAACAAAAGTTAATGCTCTTACGTGTGCAACCTGACATTGTAGGTATCTATTCCACTTTTCTGCCAAGTTACTACAAAAAATATCCGATTAAATTATCATATACACATTCAAGGTATGAAAAGCAATACTCTGCCCATTTTTAAACCCCAATTCAAAAAACTAATGTATTTTTATTGTTTACTTAAGCATTGCAGTTGCACTAAAATATAAAAATAAATAAACCATTTGGAGCACATTAACAAAATAAGCAAAACATTAACTGAATTGAATGCTTTATGATTTTATGTGCAATCATAAGTAAACCAAATTCTTACAATACCACTCTTTATACACTGAGTAATGGCAAACTACTATCAGCTCATCATCTCATTCAAGCTCTAAAATAAAATGTAAAGTAGTACTAGAGAAAGCTCATATGCTTTATGATCATTTCAAAAACCTTCAGAAAGTTTTTTTTACATCTATATACATAAACAAGAAAGATGATTTTCACGTAATCCTTAATTTGAATACCATGCAGTTTCTGAAGAGCTGGAAAAAGAACAAGACCCTTCTTGGATATTAGTGTTTGTTTATGCAGAGCACAGTGATATTCATAGACTAGAAATGTACTGAAATCCATATTAAATTGACCATTTTTCTCAAAGAGAAAGTTAAAATGGAAGGTCTCATTCCAAACAGGAGCACTGGGGAAAAATGTTCATTGTATCTCTCATCTGGCAGACCAGTAGTACCACTCTGGGAAATCAGAGAGGATTTGGGCAGACTGCCCACTCAACTTAAGGCTCATCTGAGATTCACATATATCCGCTTAGCTATCCAACTAGGATTTTGTTGTTGTTGTTGTTGTTTTCATGCCCCCATGATTTTAGTGCCTTTGTGCAATGTGCAACCCCCTCCACATGTTTCCCTTACCAAAAGGAGGCAGGTATCTCACAATACTAAGGCCAGCAAATTATGTCCTCCCATACCTGTCCACTGTAGTTATGGGAAAGCAAAATGAACTTTAATCTGTCAAAATGTACCATATGAATTAGATATGCTACAGATAATCTTGGGATCCAAATAGAAACACGCAGCCACCAAGGATATGGGGTATCTACATAGCAGTTGAAAGAACTGTACAGCTTAAAAGAACGTGTCTTTTACACACATTTAGAAAAGTATGTACATGCATATACCTCTCTGAATTAACATTTTGCACCTTTTGTGTGTTACTCAAGTACACCATAAAAACATACTAGTCTTAACTTAGTAAGCTAGGTGTTTTCTTTACCTCCATAAAAACAACTAAGAAAAAAATCAACCATACAATATTGACTGCAATTAAGAGAACTCCAGCACTGCACAATATCTGTCACACTTCACGATCAATAACTATTTCTCAGGATGGCTTGTACACTAGCAGAAATAGCCAAGATACAAATTTATAAGATAGTAAAGTGCTTTTTGTTGTATGCACAGCATAGAGTCACGAGAATCTTCTACGCAGTCCTTGTAACAGAAACATGACCTTTGAAATGCCAAAGCTCCCTTTGCTAGCAAATGTTTATCACCAAAGAGCTGTCAGCTCTCAAGTTTTTAAAAAATTAACTCTGCTGAGTCATGTATTGCAAAAATACCACAAACCTACCCATAGAGCGTTGTTACAGGAGAGCAGCAACTTGAAATCCAATCTGTTGAAAATACTAAAAGTAGCTTCATATGCCAAAAGTTTCCCAAATCTTTATTTTAAATCACTTTCCATTTAGTGCCACTACACAAAAGATTTACGTACACAGATGACCAACCCCCTATGGAGAAAACCCTAAATGTATGAAGCAAAACAAGCAAAAAGCAAGAATCACAATTAGAAAGGTGAATGCCATTATTTTTACAGTTATTTGCAACACTACTAGGTGAAATGTTCAGAAAGAGAAGAATATAGTTTGGAGGTGATAAGAAAGGCTTCAAAAGAGGCAGATTGCCTTTCAAGTCAGAATACCTTTACAAACACTTACTCATAGCAGCGTACATGAGACAAGAGCAGCACGAACATAAAGTCAGAGTCATGCAAATAAAGTAATTCACACACCTCCACAAATTTAAAGGGATTATGAACACAATCAAAGCAAATGAGTGTAATTAGTTTTTCAAGAAGATTCTCAATATTTTTTGTTGTTGTTTTTAGTTTTTACTGTGCTAGTGGAAGTCTAAGATGTTACTCTAATATCAGGCAAGTGAAATGAAGCACTATGTTTGCATCGTTACATTTTACTATCCAACTTGCAAAACCTTTAAAAGTACAGGCTACTATAATTTTCTGATCCACAGATAATACTATAATTAACATCTTCCTGATGATTCAGTGAATTACTTTCGAAAATCTGTATTTGATTCCACTACCTTTCAGCATAGTAATAATTCCTTTTTCCACGTACTATAGCTGGCAAGTTTCTTTGGAGTCCTATAGCCAGATACACTACAGTGCAAGTAAGGGTGACAGAAGATGCATGTACTGACTAATTTTAACCTCCCCTACTAAGCATTAAGTGCAATGATGTGAGGATATTAAGCAAAATATACATCTCTACAATATATGACGGACCAGATAGATTTTAATGTTCCATTAGCAAAACTAAAATCATGTAAATCTGGTGATAAAATCGGAGTACATAGGAACTACATACATAAAAATCAAATCCCATTTAAAAGCAAACACAGGTTTGTTCAAACAGCATTGTACAATTGCTTTAACACTTGCAGAATTTAGATGAACAATATTTTCATTCACTCACAGTTTAGTATAAATATAAAGCAAGGCACCCCTTAAGCATTTTAAATAACAAATTAAACATTTACGTTTTTTACTGTGCAGTCAGGCTTAACATTTATGCAGCTTCAAAACCAAAGTACAGCCTCAAGGGAAGCCTCTCCACTGACAAATTAATACCTTAGAGAATAGAGCTGAATGGTGGCAATGAACTCATTTGTTCCCCCAATAATGAAGAATGACTCTTTCTTTACCACATCTGTGACTGTTGCTATGGTGACCCAGACTTACCTCATTGCTTCTCGAAGTGCTCCTCGCTCACTAAGAGTCGTGTGCTTGATGTCATCAAAATTATTTTCTAGTTTCTCACAGTTCTGCAACAAACAGACAAATCCATGTAAGGCTCTTAAACATGTACATGTAAACACTGTACATGTATTAACATTATTCAACATCATGCAAACAAAACTGATTTATATTATGTAACCTCAAATTATGCATTCTCTTTTAATTACACAGGAGTCATTAAAAAGACATTGAGAACTCAAAAACAAAGTAAACATGAATCTTATTATATGGTTGTCATGGAAATCATCTTATAAATGTTCCATAATGAAACGTATAGAATTTTTACTTTTTTCTTCTTTGGAAAAAAAAAATATTAATTTCTCCTTTATGTGAGGCTACAAAGCTACTACACACACAGAGACAAGAATAGAAACCTAGACGTGCATTTTAGAATTATAATAAAAGTTATACATTTTGTCCCAATGAAACAGGCAGTGTTGTTGGAACAAAAAAAAAAAAAAAAATCACATTTAAGTCATATTTAATTTATTTTTTTAAAACATGACAGAAACTGAAAAGATTAATTGTTTACAGACACTTCAACCACTTAATGTTTTCTCCAGACTAGAGCTCACCAGTATTTCTAAAAGTAATATGAAGCCAACAATCTTGTGACAATAAATTAAATAAAACTTCACTATATTCTGTTAAGTACTATTAAATGTGTGATGGTTCCATCACTCCAGAGTGCTGATCCTTTTCTTCTGCTCCCATAAAGGCAGTAAAATTGATTCAGAAGATGCTAGGGAGAACAGAAATTTGTGTCTGTCCAAAGAGAGTGTGAAATACCAGCAAACAAGAATTCTCTGGTCATCTGCATCAACCATAGGCTTTTTATATTCTCTTGAGGCTTCGTCAGTACAGAAAGCTTTTAGGTTACCCCTGTTCTCTGCAGCACCTTTCTCCAATACCAAAACTCACCTCTGGGAGGCATAATTTTGCCATATGGGTGTAAAAGAAACAAGTTGCAAGCATAACAGTTAATATTGTTAACACCCTTGAAGGCAGGATTGTCAGGCTCTTTATGCAGTAGCTTTAAAAAAAATATGTGCACTATTATTTGATCATATTGCTTTCACAGTTTTTAATATCTGAATTAATTTTCAAGTCCACATCTTAAAGATAGTTATAATAAATACAATAAAAGTTACCTATTGTTATTTCTTTTGTGCATTGATTCTTTATTTTTATAATTACATTCAATTTGAGGCTACAAAAGCATCACTGGAAATTAGATATTTGTAAATGACCTAATAAGATATTTTAGCTTGTCCAATTAACATTTAAACTATCATTATTTTTAAATAAGATTATAGACTTTTTAATACAAAGTTTTAATGCTTTAACAACACATTTCTGAGCAGTAGAAATGAACAAAGCTACATTTGGAAGTTTTGCAGTCTTTTCTCTCCCTTATAAAAAATTATGCATGTCTTAAGTATGAGTAGTAAATCTTATCCCATAGCTAATCTGATATTTTTTCTTTGTTTATATCAATCAGATGTCCTTTGTATGGCAAAATCCTACTCAAAAACTCAAAGGGATTATGCAAGAAAGACAGGGAAGCTCTACAATGAAGTATTCCATTATTTAGATCAGCATACATTGACCTTCAGCTCCAAGCACATACAGGCAGGTCAGTCATTTAAAATACACAAAAGAAATCCAAATCAACAATACTAATTGATAAGGAATTCCCAATTCGTAAGTACCAAACTGAAAGTGTTTGTGCAAACAAAATCAAACCTCCCATCCGCCAGGAAAACAGACAAAATGAAACTCCATCTGGAATACTGCTCCAAGAGCCAAAAGAGGAAAGCCGTGTTTTAACAATCCTGTACCACCTGCATCTCAGGACAGGTTCAGAAAATCTGAGCATCACACTCTTCCTTTCTCTTGACCTTGTGGTATAAAGCATGTAGAAATGACAGAGGATCCAAAGCACGCAAGATTTTTATCAAACACAACTAAATCTTCCCTATGTCATACAAGCTAAAATAACTGATGCTCTCCACATGGAAAACGCTGAGAAGAGTAGGTTCAGATAGACCATACTGTGTTAATCAGCTGAAGGGCAACAAAGATGGCCCATATCTAAAGAAAATGCTGTGATCACATAGCCTTACGCCCAAAAACATTCCATCTCAACTATAAACCCAATGCAAAAACAAATAGATAACCCTGAACACACACACACACACACACACACACACAAAAAAAGGAAAAATTTATAAACTGAAATAATAGATGTTGTGCCAATTCATTGGGCAAGAAGATGAACTTCTACCATTTCTGAGAATTGTTTCTGGATAATATCATTCTCAGCTACTTTCAGCCAAATAGCTCTCATCCAAGGTACAGCAGTTAGAGAGCAAATAATTTCACCATTAGGAAAAATTGAACTAAAAACTGAGCCAGATGCAAACACCTGAAGGAAGATGACCTCATAGTACTATGTCATCAGTTACGGCACACAGTGAGCAAATATTTATCATGCCCACTGCTTTCCAGTTAGAGCTGCAATCACCCAAAACAGTATGTTGGATCCTGTCAGAGAAAAGAGAACAGGGTGTCTGAAATACCAAATACAAGCAGAGCTACAGGTGTGTAGATGTCACTTCTTCGCAGGTCTGAGTATCAGCTTGCACACTGCATTTGTGGATCATCTGAAAGGACATCAGTTTATAAAAAAGGCTACCAATAGGAATGAAGTTGTGAGCATAAGAGTACTCTGAAGAGCATTTCTGGGAAGCAATGAAACTTCGGTAGACCATGACCAGGGTGAGCTTTACATTCTTAAGTATTAAATCAGTAGCAAAAATTGAGCTCATTCTATCATCCATGCTACCAAACAGATTAATATCTATAAACATCTTGCACTGGGCAGTATGTTTCAGCCCATAATACTTCACAAATTTAAGTATAATGAGCAATTAAACTCCCAGGGGTTTAATTCTGAGCAGCAGCTAAAGTTTAAAAAAAAAAAAAAATCAAAACGCAAGCAATGAAATAAAAATGGTTTTGGTGCCTTACTGCCAAGTGATTTTCTGTGGTTATAGATGAAGTCTAGAAGTTTTAACTCTATGACTCAATAATAATATAGTACTCTATATGTTATTGCAGTTTGCAGATCCATGGTGCTGTATAATACGAAATTAAATATCACTTTTGAGAAGTATAGGAGGAAAAATAAAGTACAGAGATACAATTAGGGACTTGGTCATCATAAGTCAAACTACCATTGCATGTCAAAAAGCCACAAAAGTCCAAATACTGCTTCTTAAAGGATTCCAGCATAAGTACTTTGAGGTTTTTAAATGAACCAAAAAGCGAGAGTGTGGGGAAGAGATTTTATATATAAATAAATGGCTTATTTATCATATGAGATCTTAACTAAAACTACAAGACAACTAGTTAAAAAGGGAGATGTAGAGTGGATATCCAGAAATATCTGTGGCATTACACACAGCATACTGGTAGAACATCTAATCAGAAATGAGAAAGATGAACAGATGACGATGAGGAAGAAGAAAAATTAATTAACAAGTTGAAAAGCTTTTCCTCCTGTAACTGCAAAAATATGACTTTTTTTTTTCCTACTGCAATTTATTCTTGTTAAGAAAATAAACTGCAAGCTTTGGGAGCAAGGACTATGTGCTCACATATCTGTATTTTCTGTTATGGTAAGTGATAATATTAATAATATCATGACATATAAACTTTATAATAATATTCTAACAGTCTGAGGGAAGTCGACAACTACCAAGTCCAAAATAGTCTTACTCTTTGACACTGGCTAAAGTAACAAGCTAGCTCACATAACTGGAGAACATAAATAAAGAATCACTCTAGTTTTAAATAAAAATCTAGGATTCTGGCAAAAGTGAAGATGTACTTGTTAAAACACATATCTAAACATTTACCAACTTAACTTTCCTGTATATGTTTTTCTCTCAGACGGAAAAGCCCTCTTTGCTTGACTTAGTTATTTGAAAAGCAATTCTTGATTTAGCCTCTTCGGTCAAATCTAAAACTTTGCAGAAGTAGCTCAGAAACCAAGAGCGATCTATTGCCTGGTGTCACCACCAGGTATCTATTGCCTGCTCTGCCACGACAGGCCTAAAAGTCAGAATTTTGAGAAGACCGTAACCCAAACTTGCCCATTCTGCGATACAGTACTGACCCCACTTCCATTGAAATCAACCTTAAATCTTCCATCCAGCCAAACAAGAGTGGGATCACACCAAGCCATATCCTGCTACTTTAACTTTACCCTGAAATACTTCACGTAAGACTTTCAAAAGCGTTCATATCACAGATAACGTCTTACACACATTTTGAGATAGTTGAGAAATAAAATCTTTTGATCTGACAACAGCGTAAGACCTGTTCTAAGGCAGCCTGCATCACTGAAGTTGAGTAGATCTCTTATCCTACTTGATACACTGCCAAATCAAAAGCCTTACTTAAAATACTGTCTCTCTTCCATTGAAGAACTTTTTAGGTAAGTAGGATTGCCAAATCCTTGGAATTCATTGCTCCCACATGGTTTTAGGAAATCTTCTTAGAAAGCTTGAGTTTTTTTCCAAACATCTGTGAAAGTAAATCTCACATTTTTGCTGTCAAATGTTCTCTGTGTATTAAACATAAGGAACATACGGCAATTGAAAGATGGAACAGCTCTCACCTGTTTGGTTTGTATTTACTAATGCTGCTAATGCTAAAACAAATTCATTTTTCTCCTGTTTTCTCCTTTATAAACCATGAAAAAGCTTCCTACAGAGTATGTTGTGTCTTAGTTTTCTAATGTTTACGCAGTCAAATTTTAAAATGTACATATTAAATGCATTTGTACCTAGATTTCTAGATGCTTAAAATGAGACGACCTGTTCCAAATTCTGAAGGATACAGTAGCTCCCTCTGATAGAATCTAATGTACAGGACGTAGGCACTTACAAGTTCAGCAAGAAAAGTCCAAATTTTGGTCCCAAAATTCCTTAAAAAGTCAAGACCCACGCATGCCACA